ATTTGTACATCATTTCTCAAAACATTTTCTCTCCATTTAAACCCCCGACATTAGGTCCTCAGACATACTCCTTCTTAAAGGTTGTGAGAGTCCCTGGCTCCTGCTTCTGAGATGACTAGTTTTAAATGAGGAAAGGTGGCAAAAATCGATCAGTCCATCCCCTCATTAGAGCTTATGTACCATATTTGCATGGCCCCACCCAGTCACTTGATGGTAGTTAACAAAGGCTATGACTAGAAGGGCCATACTAATTCATTTCATTCCAACGGGCACGCAAGCATGCAGTGCACACAGCACATGGTCCATGATGAAGTCAGGTAAACCCTTGCTGTGGTTTGAAGATTACAGCCCTCAGCACTTCAGTGTGAGGGCAGGAAGCAGCATAAGCTTACTGCCAGTCACTCAAGATCTCCCGCTCAGTCGGCTTCTGTGTCTCCTTCCAGAAAGGAAGCAAGCCATTAACTTGTTTGATAGAAGCACAAAGTTAGAGGTTAAGACGCTGGTAGGAGGGAAGAAAAATGGAGAAGGGTAACCCAGCAAGGAAGAACAAGGAGACGTCCTAGGTCACACCTCTTACTCACAATGGGTCCCTAAGCTGCCCATGTGAGCTGGCGTCTTTCCCTCACCAGCTGGGGAGAATCCTGTGTCTGGCTGTAAGTGAGGCTTCTCTGCCTCTGCCTTCTTGCCTTCTACCTTCCTGCTGGCTGGATTCGGTCTTAACCCATTACCATCGAGTTGATTCCAACTCGCAGCGACCCTCTGCCGGGCTTCTGAGGCTGTAGATCTTTAAAGGAGCAGATTGATGCCCCTCTCTCCCGAGGAGTGACTGGTGGTTTTCAGTGCTGCCCCGACAGTGCCACCAGCATTCCCTTGGTTTGGTTGGTCCTAGGGCCACTTCACTCAACTTACTTTCACCTCCCCGTCTTCCGTTGTCTCTGCAGAAGATCATTGCTGTCTTCAAACCCAAGAACGAAGAGCCATATGGACACCTTAACCCCAAATGGACCAAGTGGCTGCAGAAACTCTGCTGTCCCTGCTGCTTTGGCCGTGACTGCCTTGTCCTCAACCAGGGCTATCTCTCGGAGGCAGGGGCCAGCCTGGTGGACCAAAAACTGGAGCTCAACATTGTGCCCCAGACAAAGGTAAGTGACTTTTCTCCAAGGAGCCTGATTGCCTGGCCAGGTGTTCATGTCGCCCTGGAACGTGCTCGTGTGGACAGTTGGTCCAGGGCAGATGAATTAAATGCCGAGTCGAGGGTCTTAACCTTTTTCTTTGATGGGAGGAAATTCGGCTCCTGATGTGTGTCTCGTGGTAAAAGCTGCCCCCAAAGGGAGCACAGACCGGCTGTGACTCATCTCTAAGCTCTCGAGTCTCAGGTCCCAGAGAACCCCCGAGTGGGTAGAAACACAGGCACTTTTATGGGTCATGCTCTGACTTCTGCTGCAATCCAACATTTAGATCCAGTCTAGAATAGCCCAGCTGATGTCAGCTCAGCCCTCAAGCCAGGCTCAGGCAGGGAGGACTGTGGGCTGCGCCTGACATGGAATTCTCCGTACCCGTTCTCATGCTGGGACTTGTCTGAACAGATCAAAAAGGGGTCCTCTTTCCAGATAAATCCACACTTAGAATCTTAACTCCATACCTCATTGCTTTGCTCAGGCTCTAGTTTACTCTGTCCATGCAGGTAATTCCAACAGCACGCTTTTGGACACCTTATATGATACTTGAGTCTCCTAAGACCTCTGAACTAGCCTGGAATCCTCCCAAGCAAGCCCTCCTAGACTCAGAAGCCTAGCTACTCCTGGCTCGCGTGGTGTAGGTTCCTTCCCCTGCTAGGCAGACCTCAGCCTGCCCCTGGTCCTGGGCCTGCCTGCCCCACCTGCACTTCTAGCATGCAGAGCCTGAGAACGAGCGGGCTGGAGTTTGAAGTCTGGCTCATCTTATGTGAGATTGACATGAGACAGAACCTGGCACATTTACCCAGCTGAGGGAGAATAGTAAGAGGACGTTTGTCCCTCTCGGCCTCCCTCCCCTTGTGACAGGATTCTGCCTCATCTTTCCTCTAGAGTGGCTGGTGTTTCAAACCACTGACCTCGCAGCTAACATCTCGACTTGTAACCCACTACTTCACCAGAGCTTTCTTTTGGACGATTTTTTAAAGGAACACAGTACTCCAGGGTGATCTTTTTTATTTTGTGAGCAAGCCAGTTGGTTATTTAGCTAAAAGGGGACCTCACGGCTTATTGTTGCTCAGGGTTTAAGGAGTATCTTGGGGAGTCCTCCAGTCTCAACCAGGCACTGGACCATCGCCACCTCCTAACCCAGGAGGGAGCTTTATTAGGGTGTGCACCCCAGCTCCTGTACCAGCCTCTGACTCTCCAGGTTTAACACAGGAAGAGTGTCTTTTTTGCTCACGAGCTCTCTCCATGTAATGACCAGGGACCCAGGCTCCGTCCATGGTATGGCGGTGCTACCTCAGGGTCCTGCATTTCCACCTGCACAGATTGGGGGATGTGAACTAACAGCCCTGCAGGGGACATTGGAGGCCAGGTCTGGATGCCGTGTGTGTTCGTCACGTCGTCATATTCCATTGTCCCGAATTGGTCACGCACCCCGTCCTCGCTACTGAGAAGCCTGGGAGTGCCTTCTGTAAATGTGTCCCGGGAGAGGAACAGAACTGAAGAGTCTCTCATTATTCTCTGCCATCATGGTCTGATTCCTTAACCCCGATTCTATCCCGGATGTCTCTTCTCTCGCCACTCTAGGTAGTCTACCTGGCCAGTGAGACCTTCAACTACAGTGCCATTGACCGAGTGAAGTCCAGGGGCAAGCGACTGGCTTTAGAGAAAGTGCCAAAAGTCGGGCAACGGTTCAACCGCATTGGGCTACCACCAAAGGTATGGGCTGAGCTCCGGAACTGATCTGGCTTATCAAAGGTGACCAGTGCTGATTTCTAGTGGCACAGTGACCCAGGTGGTAAAGCAGGGTAATGGCAAACTCACAATGGCATGTCCTGAGATCCTTGTCTTCCTCCTTTCTGCCAAGGATCTGAGGTTTGGGGAGTAATTCTCCGAGAGTAGGAGACCCTAATTTTGTTCACTTTACTCCTCTCTGGGTCTTTTGAATGGCTTCTTGAATTTATCTGGGCAGTCATGGTCACACCCTTTTCTCCTGAACGTTCCAGGAAGGAGTGAAGGCGTGAAGATGGCGAGGAAGCTCCTCATCTCTGATAGAAACGCCACAGGGTCTTCATGAGAGTCAGGCTGATTCCTGAGCCCGTTGGACTTGGGCTGTTGGGAAAAGCTTACCGTTTTCACTCTGGGTTCCAGGTGGGATCATTCCAGCTCTTTGTTGAAGGTTACAAAGATGCAGACTACTGGCTGCGGCGCTTTGAAGCCGAGGCACTCCCGGAGAACACTAACCGGCAGTTACTGCTGCAGTTCGAGCGGCTGGTGGTGCTGGATTACATCATCCGTAACACAGGTGAGCTGGGTTGGGGAGGGTGGAGGGGGGGCCTGGAGGTTTACGGGACTTTGGAAGCAGAGCGTCAGCTGGATGAAGTTTTTCTAAGTCAGAACAGTCATTCACTTTTGGGGAAGGCCTCCCATGCCCAGGCCCTGTCCATAGACACCATACCATTACCAGATGGGTACCATTACCAGAGGGGTGGTGAGGCCCAGTGCCAGGGTTTTCGCTGGTCTTACTTGCTTTCCTTCTCCCAGACAGGGGACACTGGCTCTTCCAGAGCTTTCTGACAACTGCTCCTATCCTTGATCCTCAGTCACTCACGGAGCTTCAGGATCTTATCTTTTTCTAACATTTTTTGTGAGGGATACTTAGGTCATCAGTGTTAACCTTCTTTTCTAATGGATGTATGTTAAAGCTTAAGTTTAGTCTTAAGCATGGCTAAGCTGCATCCTGAGGAGCCCTGGTGGCATAGTGGTTATGTGCTGAGCTGCTAACCTCCAGGTCAGCAGTTTGAAACCATCAGCTGCTCTGTGGGAGAAAGAGAAAGCTCTCTATTTCCGTAAAGAGTTATAGTCTCGGAAACCTACCGGGGCAGGTCTACCCTGTCCTCTAGAGTCGCCATGAATTGGTATCAACGGATGAGAATGAGTTTGTTTGTTGTCTTAGCCATCTCCTGCAAGCTTTGTTCATTGTGATCAGTTCAAAGTGGTTTCTAATGTCTTTTGTGATTTCTTCTTTGGCCCATAGGTTACTAAAAAGAATATTGTTAACTGTTTAGTAAGGAAAGTTTTCAACATATGCAAAAATATGAGTAGTATAATAAATTCCCATGTGCTTGTCACCAGCTTAAACATTATGTAAGGCCCCACTCTTCATGTCCCATCCCCATTTCCTGCTAGATTATTTTAAAGCACATCCCAGACATCATAGCATCCTATCTGTGAGTGCATCCAGATGTGCTCTGAGACAATGACATATTCTCTCTCTCTCTTTTTTTTGGACATATTCTTTAGTACAACCACCACCTAATGTCCTGTCAGTATCCACATTTCCCCAGGTGATTCAGAATTGTTTTTATACAGTTGATGAATTCAAATCATGGTCCAAACAATGCCTGGATATTATATTTGGTAAAATGCTTTTTAAGTGTTTTATAATTACAAAAAATTTCTACCAGTTTTGTCCTTGCCTTTTATTTGTTGAAGGAACTAGATTATCGATTGCCCTAGTAGCACCTTACATTCTGGATTTGGCTTGTCTACTGTACCTGCTTCCCCTATTTGTTCTGTAAGTGGATAGCTAGTTCTAAAGGTTTGTCCAATCTGGGTTTGTACTTTGATTTCGACATAATATCAGAGTAATAAAAACATTGCAAGAATAATATAAAGACTTCCCATGTATTCTTCACTCAGGTTCCCTAAAGGTTAGCATTTTACCACATTTGCTTTATCATTCTCATATCAGAGAGATGATGGGTGTACATCTACTCCTCGCTTACTGACTTGAATAGATTCTGCGAAAATCAGTGTAATGTGAAAATTAGAGTAGCTTTAGTAAGCCTTGCTGTGATCCTCATTCTTATTGGATCTAAGTCACACCCCCAAGGAAACTCCTTCTCGAGATTGCTGCTCATGTGAGATCACAAAGTGGAGGATGACTACATCATCACATAACTGCCAAACCACTGAGAACCATAGCCCAGCCGTGTCCATACATATCCTTCACCAGTGCAGCCAGTGGTAACCTGCTTCACAGCTCGGCACTCCTGGCAGATGTCATAATTAATGCACTAAACAGTTGGATAGATTTTTTTCTTTTGTCATAAATGTGAAATGTTGGATGAGAGTCGATAAGTGAGGAGTAGATGTATATGCATTTAGTATCTTTTCACACACATCTGCATATATATTTGTGTGTGTACATGCATTTTTCCCCATAACAATTTGGGAGTAAATTGTAGAAATACTACTTCTTTCTCCCTAAATAGTTCACCTTATTATTTCCAACAAATGCTACAGTTATAAAAGTTAAGAAATTAACATTAATATGATGCTCTTATCTAATCTATAGGCCATATTCAGATTTTTCCAGTTTTCCTTATAACAAAAGAAAAATTGGGATTACTTGTTACATTCCATTGCTACCTCTTGAACATCTTGTTTTTAAGAAATCTGGAATGATTTTGCAATCGTCCCTGGTCTTGGATGGCATGCATGGTCATATATTTTTTTTTTTTTTGGCATGGTCATTTTGAAGGTGCACAGACCAATGCACCTTAGAATATCTCTCAGTTGGGGATTGTCTGACGCTTCCTCATTATTAGATTTAGGTTATGCTGGTTTGGGCAGAAATTCAACAGAGTGATATTTATTCTTCCGCGCATCTTATCAAGGAACACGTAATGTCCCATTCTTGGTAATGTTAACTATGGTTCATGTGATCTTCGCGACTCAAAAGTAACTCATTGTTCCCATGTGGGGGAGCTACTTTGAAACTATGTAAATATCTTGTTATTCAAACAGCCATCCACCTGTTTTGGCATCTGTTGATGATCCTTGCCTGAATCCATCGTTACCTGGATGGCTGCCAAATGGCAATTTTTCTGATTCTGTCATTCCTTCTGTGGAGCCCTGGTTATGTGGTGCCTTGTGCGTTGGGCTGCTAACCACAAAGTCAGCAGATTGAAACCACCAGCTGCTCTGCAGGAGAAAGATGAGGCTTTCTACACTCATGAAGAGTTAACGTCTCAGAAACCCTCAGGGGCAGTTTGATCCTGTCCTATAGGTCGCCCTGAGTCAGCACCGACTCCGTGGCAGTGAGTTTGAGTTTTGGGAGTCATTCTTTTATATTAGCTGGTGTTCAACTGTAAGAAAGAACTTTACTCTCCTTTTATATGGACTCATGGATTCTTATTTTACTTAATACGGTCTACTTCCTTACTGCCCTTATTTATTCTAATGCTCCCATTATTCCATATTTGGCCAGTGAACACCTCTTAATCCGACTCTTATGTCATTTGGGCATGCCTCCATCATTCTCTGGGTACTTTTTTACCTCCTGACATCAAACACTCTAGTTTGACCTTGTACTTTTTCTAGTCCTGGCCGGGGTATCACCCATTTCTCCAGAGCCCTGCTTCCTCTTATGGGACAATGGTATTAGAAGCCAAGATGTGCTCATTGCTCCTGGGGTATCACTGCTTCTAGGACCCCATGCTGGGAAAGCTGGGATATGTACATACACACGTGTAGAAGGGTGCTTCACAAAGTTCCAGGGAAAAAAATTCATGGAAAAGGGAATTGAAAGGTATTGGAGTTTTCTTGCGAGCTTTTTGAAGGCCCCCCCCCATATACTCATACATATACCTGTAGGAAACTCCACCCCAAAAATGTGTCATTATTCTTACCGTTGTTAATAATTTTAAACAGACACAACCTTCATTTATCCATCATCCTAGCCCCAACAACTACCATTTATTAATGACTAATCCAGTGCCATTCGTACTTAAAAAAAAAAATCCATTTTATTGGAGGCTCTTACAGCTCTTATAACATCCCATACATCAATGTTATTATACTTTTGACTTAACCTGAATTGTGTATTATTTTAGTGCAGGTCTCACATGTAATTTCACTCACAGTTATTTCTTTATGTAGCTCTAAAAGATGAGAACTCCTTAAAAATCAATATACTACTATGACATCTTTTTTTTTTAAGGAAAGTAATATTTACTTGAGAGCTTACTAAATTCCAGGCACTTAGATATAGTGCTCACAACAGCCCCATCAGTTAGATATTCTTAGCGACATTTTCAGACAAGGGCATAAAATAATCAAAGAAATTAAACTACAAATAAAGAGGTTGCACTTTTCCTACTGTGTATACTATAAATGGCATTAAAATAGCAGCATCCAATTCTGGTGCACGTCCTAAAGTTGTATATATTCAGGCCAAAGTTCAGCACCTTTTCTATTTCTTTTTTTTTTTAATTGTTTTATTAGGGGCTCATACAGCTCTTATCACAATCCATACATACATCAATTGTGTAAAGCACATTTGTACATTCATTGCCCTCATCCTTCTCAAAACATTTGCTCTCCACTTAAGCCCCTGGCATCAGCTCCTCATTTTTCCCCTCCCTCCCCACGCCTCCCACCCTCATGAACCCTTGATAGTTTATAAATTATTATTTTGTCATATCTTTCCCTGTCTGACGTCTCCCTTCACCCACTTTTCTGTTGTCCGTCCTCCAGGGAGGGGGTCACATATAGTTCCTTATATTAGGTTCCCTCTTTCCAACCCACTCTCCCTCTACCCTCCCAGTATCGCCAATCACACCACTGGTCCTTAAGGGATCATCCGCCCTGGATTCCCTGTGTTTCCAGTTCCTATCTGTACCTTGCAAGCCAGACTTGCAAGGTAGAATTCGAGTCATGATAGTGGGAGCTGGGAGAAGCATTTAGGAACTAGAGGAAAGTTGTATTTTTCATTGTTGCTACATCGCACCCTGACTGGCTTGTCTCCTCCCCGAGACCCCTCTACAAGGGGATCTCCAGTGGTCTACAAATGGGCTTTGGGTCTCCACTCCACACTCCCCCCATCATTCACTATGGTAAGATTTTTTGTTCTGATGATGCCTTATACCTGATCCCTTCGACACCTCGTGATCGCATAAGCTGGTGTGCTTCTTCCATGTGGGCTTTGTTGCTTCTGAGCTAGATGGCTGCTTGTTTACCTTCAAGCCTTTAAGCCTCCAGACGCTATACTTTTTGATAGCCGGGCACCATCAGCTTTCTTCTTCACATTTGCTTATGCACCCATTTGTCTTCAGTGATCCGTTCGACACCTCATGATCACACAGGCTTATGTGTTCTTCCATGTGGGCTTTGTTGCTTCTGAGCTAGATGGCCACTTGTTTACCATCAAGCTTTTAAGACCCCAGACCTTATATCGTTTGATAGCCAGGCACCATTAGCTTTCTTCACCACATTTGCTTATTTACCCGCTTTTTCTTCAGCGGTTGTGTTGGGAAGGTGAGCATCATAGAATGCCAATTTTAATAGAAGAAAAGTATTTTTGCATTGAGGGAATACTTGAGTGGAGGCCCCATGTCCCTCTGCTACCTTAATACTAAACCTATAAATATAGGCACATAGGTCAATTTCCCCATCCTCATATATAAATATATTTTCATATGTACATGTACTATGACATCTTAACAAAATTAGCAATATTTGTTTAGATTTTTTTATTTACCTGTCTCCAAACATGTAGCTGACATCGTTTTCCTTTGACCTAGAGGCTATTTTAGTATTGGTTTGTTTGGTGAGAAGTTCTGGTTTTGTTTATCTGAAAATGTTTTTATTTCCTCTTTATTTTGGAAGGATATTTTTGCTGAGTATAGAATTCAGACTCAGTAGCTAATTTTTTTTTAGCAATTTGGGGGCAGGGGAGATAGTCCGTTGTCGTCGTCTGTGGTTTCTACGGAGAAATCAGTTTTCAGTTTCTTGTTGTCGCCCTGAAGGTCGTCTGCCTCTCTTTCTTTTTCTCCGGATAAAAACTTCCCTCTTGGTTTTCAATAGCTTTGTTTTAGTCGGGTATAGTTTTTAAATTTTATTTTTATTTATAGTTGTTGTTATTATCTTTTTAGGGAGCAGCAGAGCTTTTTGAATATGTAATTTGTAATCATTTGGCCATTTTGGAAAATTCTCCCTTTGTTTCTTCAAATATTAATTCTACTTCATTTTCTTCTCTCCTCCTGATTTTTTCCCCCTATTCTGACCTGTCTAACAAAGCACTGTTTCTCAAAAGTGATATACTGTCTATTGAGGTGTTTATTTGGCTTACTGATTTTTCAATTCTATAACTTCCACTTTAGTCTTTATAACTTTAGAGTCCTGTTCTACTGAAGCTCTTAATTTTGCCTTTTATCTTCTTTACGCCTTTATTTAAAAGTCTGTATCAAGTATTTCCATTGTGTTTGAAGCTCCTGTTCATCTGTTTTAATCTTCTGTTGTTGCTCTCTGTTTTTCATTTAGATGTCATCTTCTCCCTTTCTCTGCCTGGTTATTTTTGATTGTCAGGTCCTGCCTATCAAAAAATTGTAGAAATATTTGGAGGCGGAATGCTGATAGAAATCCTGCCTGGAGAAAGATACTTGGTTTTATCGAGCAGCTAGGGACACCAGCAAGCTAGCATCAGTTTAATATGATTTCAGGTACTGAGGGGAAGCTGGGCTGACTTTCAGGGAGTAAGTGTCAACCCCAGCCAGGCTCCCTCCCTCCCTGGCACTGGATTACAGCTTTTGTCTCTTAGCTCCACAAGGTTGGCCGCGCACTGTTTCACCTCACAGCCGTCACTTCTTTTCAGATCCGCGGACCTCTAGGAGAAAAGACGTTATAAATGCTGCCCCCCTTCCCAGACTCCTTTCCATTCCTACATCCTGGCACTGTAGTTCTCTATGGTCTTGCTAGTCCGTGGTCTCAGTTGAAATGTTGCTCCAGACTTCCATCATTACTGGACAGGGAGCTGCCCGGTTTTCCCTGTTAACTTTGTTTCTGTCCACAGATCGAGGCAACGACAACTGGCTGATTAAATACGACTGCCCAATGGATAGCTCTAACTCTCGGGTAAGAGGTGGCTCTCTCATCCGAAGGATGGGGAGGGGTGTGTGCATAACATGGAAGCACATTGAGCAGTCAGAGACTTAGACCACATGAAGTTCAGAAGTCTCAGGAGAGCACCTGGGTTTAAAATGCATGGAAAGGGTACTGTCTGTCACCATCTTTCCAATCTCCCTTTATTTGAATCGCCTTTACTCTGAAGAGTGCTTTTGGGTTTACAGTAAAATTATGTGGAAAGTACCTGTGGTCCTGCAAGCTCCTCTCCCTTGCCGTGTGTTCTAACATTTGGCTTCTGTTGTACATTGGTTACCATTTGGTAAACCAAGATTGATACATTACTGTGTACTGCAGTCCATCAATTACAATAGGGTGCTAGAGCCTCTGGTAAAGAACACTCTTTCTGCCTGATGCTACTGGGAGTAGCAGGAAGGAAAGGCCAAGTCCTCCTGGAACGTATTCCAGACTCGCTCTTTTCCTTGGAGCACCACACTGCACAGGAGCATAGTAAAGATCAGGAAAGACTGCGTTAAATGACCTGTCTAACTCCTGTGTGAACCTTTTTTGGGCCCTAGAACACTTTTCTCACAGTACAGCACCAGGCCACAGGGACAGCTGTCACTGGCCTTCTTGTCATCCTTGTGCAGGCTGCAAGGCTTTTTAAAGTGATGGGACAGCTTCCTGAGAAGGGAGAGTACGGTTGGCGTTATCCCGCAAAACGTTTTTACCTCCTCCTCTAGTATAAGTAACCCCTGAGTTAGGGCCCCGCCCATTCAGCGATTCCTCTGTAAGTTAGTTCTGAACTAAGGTGAAAGCCCCTGCTCCTCCCCTCCGCCCCCCAATATTAGTGCCTTTAAAAATTTGTATCATCATACATTTATTCTACATTTGCCTTTGGCGTTTGGATTGATTACATCAGCAAATTAAAAACTGCAACATTGTATTGGAGTACATGTAACTAATGATAAGATGCATCCAAAACATAAAAATACAGCTCATTAGGCCTCGAGTCTGTCATAAGTTGGGGCCTACCTGGGTAGTAATCAGAATCACCTGAAGAACTGCCTGAAGATGGTGCAGCTTCCCCAGGCCTTCCTTCTGCCCAAGAGCTGGAGTCATCGGGTCTGGAGGGAAATTCAGGGTCCCGTACTTTGAATGCCGTATGCTGGGGGATTCCGACATGGGTGTCCGAGAACCACAGTCTCGGTTCCCGTGATGGCACCAATTGGAGTCAGGTGGGGAGTCACTGTAGTCCCTGATTAAGGGATGTCCCATGTGACACACCCACTCTGTTTGCATTCAGCTCTTGGACCTTTCCTGGTTGTGGATCCCCGAAGCAGGGAGAGGCTCGGCTTCTCACTGGAGAGGGCGGCCAGCACCAGGGGTGTGGCTTCCCAGGCCGGCTCCACACAAGGGGGCCTTGGCCGCCAATCCCGGCTTTGCTCCTATTCACAACCTCAGCCTCCTCTGTGCCTTCCCGCTTGTTGCTGTCATCTCCTCCCTTTTCAGGGGCCATGGCCACTCCTAGAGAAGTGGACCTTCCCTAAGCTGAGAACCTTGGACAGGCCAGGTCAGAGGTGCCCTAAATATACCAAGTTCAGATAACGCTGTGGGAACTAGTTCAGCTCCAAAGAGGTTGGAGAAAGAGTGGCGGCAGGAGCTAAGAGGGGATGGATGCCTTGCTTCTTTGAAGAGCCTGAGGCACAGGGGGTTCCTAAGTAATCAGTCTCACATTACTTCCCAGGATGCGGATTGGGTGGTGGTAAAGGACCCTGTGATCAAGGTGGCTGCCATAGACAACGGGCTGGCTTTCCCGCTGAAGCATCCTGACTCCTGGAGGGCATGTAAGTCTCAAGACCTCTGTGCTCTGGTCCCTCCCTGGCTTCATCCCTTTGCTCATCTGCACAGTAGAGATGACAGCACCTCTCTAACAGGATTGCTCTGGGAGCCTTGGTGGTGTAGTGGTTACACATTGGACTGCGATCTGCATGGTCGGCAGTTCAAAAACACCAGCCTGGACTTTCTGCTCAGATACCCACAGGGGATCACTTTGAGTCAGCATTGACTTGTTGGCAGCAAGAACAGGATTGCCCTAAAATTAATAGGGGTTGTGCCCCTCAGCACAGAGGCTGGCATGTGGCAGCGGCTCTATAATGTAAGCTATGGTACATTTTATTATTTATTTATTTTAATCGTTTTATTAGGGGCTCATACAACTCTTATCATAATCCATCCATACATAAAGTGCGCAAAGCTCAATTGTACTTTCATTGCCCTCATCATTCTCAAAACATTTGCTCTCCACCTAAGCTCCTGGCATCAGCTCCTCATTTTTCCCCCTCCTTCCCCGCTCCCCCCTCCCTCATGAACCCTTGATAATTTATAAATTATTATTTTGTCATATCTTGCCCTGTCTG